AATAAAGTGCCATGAAGATTAAGGGCAGGGATGAAAGTCTTTGCTGCTGCTCTCCTGATTTGTATGCAGAACATCTCTGTGCCTTCTCTACTGTTGTTGTTGTTGTTTATTAAAAGGGACGAGGAATCCTGAAGCATGAAAGTGGAGAATAGTTTTGTCAATGCCTTCTCTAAAAATAATACATTTCCTGTTGTGCCCAGCATGCTCCCACACACCCCAAAAAAATAACAATGTATATCATCCTGTTTGGCGACGTGCTTTGCCAAAAGGCCACTTTGGAATGGCGCACGGGGAGGGCTGTTGGAGTTTCACCAAAGACAGGTTCTGGGGAGAACAATTGCGAGCTGAGGATGCTCTCCTAGGAAGAAAACCCCTATTGTATCATGGAAGCACCTGAATCCCTCCAGATTGCAGATGAGAGTTCACCTGGCTGGATGTTACTCTATTAAAACACAACAGCAACAGCAATTCCAGATAGATAACTATCGGGAAACATTTATTTAATTTATTTATTCATTCATTTGTACACCAACCTTCATCTGAAGATCACAGGGTGGTTCACACATACCTTTCTCTCTGATGATGATGATAATAATAAAATAATAATAATTTATTATTTTTATTTATACCCCGCCCATCTGGCTGGGTTTTCCCAGCCACTCTGGCAGCTCCCAGCAGAATATGAAACAGAATAAAAGTCAAACATTAAAAACTTCCCTAAACAGGGCTGCCTTCAGATGTCTTCTAAAAGTCAGATAGTTGTTTATTTCCTTGACATCTGGTGGCTAAGTTTTCTGTTTGGATGGAATTGGTTTTGCACACCAGAGTCAGAAATGTTCCCATCATGTAGTGGCGTAGCTAGCTGGGAGCACTGGGCAGGGTGAGCACTGGTGGGGTGAGCTGCCCATGGGTAAAGTCCCCCCCCCGCGGTATGGCGCCCAGTGCACCCTGTCCCTCCACCCCTCCCAGCTACACCTCTGCATTCATGTGAGTCCTCAACCCCAGTTCAGCGACACGACCAAGGTTACCAACGAGCACACAAACTATATGAGACAGAGGTGTGTGTGTGTGTGTATGTGTGAGGTACGATCAGGCCCACAGTCTGAGGGGGGAGGGAGACTCATAGAACTGTAGAGTCAAAAGGGAACCTGGGGCATTTCCTCCTTGAACTCTCCTAATGCAAATACTCCTTGCAGTGTTGTTGTTTTTCTAGAAAAATACAGTGGTACCTCTGGTTACGTACTTAATTCGTTCTGGAGGTCGTTTTAACCTGAAACTGTTCTTAACCTGAAGCACCACTTTAGCTAATGGCGCCTCCCGCTGCCGCCGCGCCTCCGGAGCACGATTTCTGTTCTCACCCTGAAGCAAAGTTCTTAACCCAAGGTACTATTTCTGGGTTAGCGGAGTCTGTAACCTGAAGCGTATGTAACCTGAAGCATATGTAACCTGAGGTACCACTGTATAGCTATTTACATGTCAAAGAGTGAGCTCTGTTGCCAAAGAGACAAACAGGTGAGCATTTTCCCACCTCACCTGGCTGGATGCCATTCATCCTATGACGGAGAGCAATAGGCCAAACGTTCTTAACCTGAGGTAATATTTCTGGGTTAGCGGAGTCTGTAACCTGAAGTGTATGTAATCCGAGTACCACTGTAGATGCTTGTACTCCCCATGAAGTTGTTACAATAAAGTGCCACACTTTTCACACACACACACACACACACACACACACAGTGCCGGTCCCTTGAGTGCCCCGGGGGAAAAAAAGCACTGGCTCTTGAGATTTAAAGGAATACACACCATACATTAAAAGCAGATTTAAAGCGCACACCCTTAAAAATCCTAGGAACTGGTGTTTACCTTGCACAAGGCTACAGTTCCCAGTACACTTAACAAACTGTAGCTTCCAGGATCCTTTGTGAGGTGTTTTTTTTTTTTTTTGGGGGGGGTGCACTTTAAAACTTCTTTAAATACATAGTGTGTACACAGATCTGTAACACTGTTTCTAGTGTGACCGTAATAATTAGGTCCAAGGCTGTGTAGATATTATGGTTTACTCTGGCCCCAGTGTGCTTCCAAGCTGGCATTTGAAGCAGTGTGCGCATGATGGCAGTGGCGTAGCGTGGGTTGTCAGCACCCGGGGCAAGGCAAGTAATTTGCGCCCCCTAACCCGTGGATTTTAGCACGAGTGCGAGCGCCCCCCAGATGTTGCGCCCGGTGCGGCCGGCACCCCCTGCACCCCCCACGCTACGCCACTGCATGACGGTTCCACACTCCACATGTATCCTGTTGTCTCTTGAGAAATACTGTTGTTTGGTGCATTTTCCCCTCGAGCCAGCTTCCATCCAATTTGAAAATGTAAACCACATTTACTTCACAGTTGAGGGAGACAGCTGTTACGCAAGCACAACGACAGCTTTGTGAATAGGCATTTAGGGGGCTTGCAGGTGTGGGGATACTAAACAGGTAACGTGAAGACATTCTTGTCCCCCCCCCAACCTGGTGTGTACAGCAATGTGCAAAGTGACTTGAAGTGTAGCGGGGGGGGGGAACGGGGGACGGCCTGCTGTGATTTAAGCCACTGATGTGAACATAGCCAAAGTAATGACTGATCAAACTGAGCAACATCAATTTCCCCACCGTGTCATTTCTTCTTGGCTGGAAAATGTTCTAAGGAAGATGTTCTAAAATATATCTGTTATTTGTAGTTAGCTGAGGGCAGAAGGGAAATGCCATTTACAATTTAGCTCGAGCTACGTTTCTATTTTAACTCCAGGGACTTAATCCTTGGTAGGGCTTGGCCCCAGCAGATGTTTTCAACGCCAGGGATTAACCCTGTGCCAAGCGCTATGGGTGCCTTGCGGTACTTGGTTGGCTTTGTCCCACACCCTCTAGTAGTCAGAGAGAAACAGGAGGCTAGGAAAGGAGGACACACGGCCAGAAAACATCCAGAAGGTCCTTGCTTACAGGAGGTATCTGAGACTGAAGTCTAAGCAGCCAATAATGAAATGAGCTCCCTCACCTGGAGAGACTAGCCGTAGGATAGAGAGAAATGCCTAATGTTAGGCCCCACCAGCTAACATTCAGGACTGAGGCACCTAGCCAGAGAAAGCACCTAAGAATAAGCACCAGTGTGGCATAATGGTTAGAAGTGTCTGAGTAGGATGTGGGAAACCAGGGTTCAAATCCTGCCTTAGCCCTGAAGCACACTGGGTTACCTTAGGCCAGTCACTACTACCTCTCAGCCTAACCTTCCTCACATGGTCATTGTGGGGATTCAGTGAGGAGGAGCAAGAGGCACGTGTAAGGTCCACAAATGACAACATTTTGGAGGTCCCAGGTCGCAAGGTCTCAACTAGGGCCAGGGCCTTTTCAGTACTGGCCCCGACTTGGTGGAACCTAGTCACAAGAGACTAGGGCCCTGCGGGACTTGACATCTTTCCGCAGGGCCTGCAAGACAGAGATATTCCACCTGGCCTTTGGTTTGGACTCAGTCTGACCCTTATGTTTCCCTCCCCTTATGGTTTTGATCTATAAGCTACTTTTAAAATGAGGGTGCATTTTAAATTGCATTTTAACCTGTATTTTAAATTGGGGTTTCCCCCTCCTATTATGTTTTTACTGTAATTTTACTGGTGGTGTTAGCTGCCCTGAGCTCGGCTCTGGCCGGGGAGGGGGTATAAATAAATTTTATTATTATTATTTATTATGTACGCCACCTTGAGTTCCTTGGACAACATTTCAATAAATAAATAAGCAGCATTCTCCAACACCCTTGGCATGCATGCATGCTGATGCCACCAGCCTGGTAGTGCCAACACCACCCATCTTTCAGCACCAGCCACAGACTTTTCTCTTCCACAAGGCATTTTGGGATGTTTTTAGCGTTTTCAAAGTTTTCTAGGTGTTTTTAATTATAATTGTTTTTATAATATTTTTACTGTCTAGCTGTTTTGTTTTGAAATGGTGGTGAGTTTGCCACACTGGGTTCCTTTTGTAGGAAAGATGGGATATAAATTCAATAAATAATAAATAACAACAACAACAACATATGCTGCCTATAAAGTTGGCACCTTGGCCATTAAGAGTTACATGATATTTTAATGGGTTCTTATTTCTGTTCCCTTGCATTTTAAATGGTTGATACCCACCCTGGGAATATTCATGATGAAGGATGGGATATAAATCATACAATAAAGAATTAAGTGCTGTGAGTCCAACTAAAATGTACCAGTTCAAAGTCTGCTGACATTTTCTCATTTCCCCTCATACAGTTCTGGAAAGCCAGACATGATTAGAAAATGTTATAGTATGCAGAATACGTTATCTGTGTGGAAACAGCAAAGTCCAGCAACTGGAGGAACGTGTAGCTACGCTCCAAAGAATTAGAGAGCTGGAACTCTTCTTGGAGGCAACAGAGCACACCGTCTCCACCAAGGAAGAGACAGGGGACTCCCCTGAGAAGGTGGCTAGTTCACCAACACAGGTGCCAGCTATATGGAGAAACGTGACTCAAAGAAGTAGGAGGCCCAGGGTTCGCTCTGATTGTTTAGAAATACGCAATCGCTTTGAGGTCCTTTCCCCTAGCATGGAAGACGAAGAGCAGACTCCATTTGAGGATCTCTCCCTCATTACAGTTGATCAGGTATATGAAGACGAGGAGCAAAGGCAGTCCTCTGGGAATGTCCAGGCGACCTTGGAACGGACAGCTCACAGAAGAACCCCGACCAGACCTAAGAGGAGGCGTGTAGTGGTGATAGGGGATTCCCTACTGAGGGGAACAGAAGCAGTGATCTGTGGGCCTGACAAGATGTCTCGGGAAGTGTGCTGTCTCCCCGGGGCTAAGATCCAAGATGTAACTGAACGACTGCAAGGAATCATAAAACCCACTGACAAATACCCCTTCCTCTTGGTTCATGTGGGAACCAATGACACTGCAAGCAATAGCCTCCAGAAGATCAAAAGAGATTACGAGGCTCTGGGCAGGAAATTGAAGCAATTAAATGCACAAATTGTCATCTCATCTGTCCTCCCAGTTGAACGACGTGGCCCAGGGAGAGAGGGAAAAATAGTGGAAGTGAACAACTGGCTTCGCAAATGGTGTAAACAGGAACGGTTTGGATTCTTAGATCACGGAATGCAGTTTCTTGAAGATGGACTTCTGGCAAGCGATGGGCTGCACCTCACAACGGTTGGGAGAAATGTTTTTGCAAAAAATCTCAGAAACCTCATCAGGAGGGCTTTAAACTGACTAATGTGGGGGAGGGAGACAGTGCTCCTGAAGGTAGGAGTCTATCAATTGATGAAGATGATCATCCAAATGTCATAGACCGAATGGAGCAAAGAGCATGCAGACCTAGTGGTGGGAGGAAAAAATCCTTAAATAAGAGACACGGGGGAATGATTAATGGACTTCAATGTCTGTACACTAATGCGCAAAGCATGGGAAATAAACAAGATGAGCTTGAGCTCCTGGTACAGCAAACTAAATATGACATAATAGGAATCACTGAAACCTGGTGGGATAAATCCCACGATTGGAATGTAATAATGGAGGGATACAATCTATTTCAAAGAAACAGACCAGACAAGAAAGGAGGAGGAGTGGCGTTATATGTCAGGGATGTGTATACCTGTGAAGAGATCCAAGATTTAGAACCTCAAAGCCAAAGTGAGAGCATTTGGGTCAAAATTAAGGGAGAGAAGAATAACAGTGACCTCATTGTGGGAGTTTACTATAGATCCCCAAGCCAAACGGAGGACATAGATGATGCCTTCCTGGAACAGATGGCCAAGCATGCAAAAGGAAGGGAGATAGTAGTAATGGGGGACTTCAATTACCCGGATATTTGTTGGATGTCAAACTCAGCCAAGAGCATAAGGTCAAACAGATTCCTCACTGCCCTTGCAGACAACTTCATTGTCCAGAAAGTGGGAGAAGCAACAAGAGGAACAGCCATTTTAGATCTGGTCCTAACCAGTGTTGATGACCTGGTTAGTGGGGTAGAAGTGGAAGGATCATTAGGCGCGAGTGATCATGCTCTTCTGAAGTTTACTATACAGCGGAAAGGAGCAGCCAAGCATACTAGGACTCAATTTCTCGACTTTAAGAAAGCCGACTTCATAAAGCTTAGGGAAGTGCTGGGTGAGATCCCATGGACAGTAATACTAAAAGGAAAGGGAGTTCAAGATGGCTGGGAGTTTGTTAAGAGGGAGATAGTAAAAGCACAACTTCAGGCAATACCAATGAGACGGAAACATGGAAGGTGCCTAAAGAAGCCAGGGTGGCTATCTAAAGAACTTTTAACTGAGTTAAGATTAAAAAAGGATGTGTACAAAAAATGGAAAAGGGGGGAAACCACCAAAGAGGAATTCAAACAAATAGCCAGCACGTGTAGACACAAAGTCAGAAAAGCTAAAGCACAAAATGAACTCAGGCTTGCTAGAGAGGTTAAAAGCAACAAAAAAGGCTTTTATGGGTATGTTCGTAGCAAAAGGAAGAACAAAGAAACCGTGGGGTCACTCAGAGGAGAAGATGGTGAAATGCAAACAGGGGACACAGAAAGGGCTGAACTCCTCAATGCTTTCTTTGCCGCAGTCTTCTCCGATAAAGAAAACAATGCCCGACCTGAAGAATTTGGAGCAAATGATTCAGCAGAGGAAACACAGCCCAGAATAACTAAGGAGATAGTACAAGAATACTTGGCTAGTCTAGATGTATTCAAGTCTCCAGGGCCAGATGAACTGCATCCAAGAGTATTAAAAGAACTGGCAGATGTGATTTCAGAACCACTGGCAGTCATCTTTGAGAATTCCTGGAGAACAGGCGAAGTCCCGGCAGACTGGAGGAGGGCAAATGTTGTCCCTATTTTCAAAAAGGGGAAAAGAGAGGACCCAAATAATTACCGCCCAGTCAGTCTGACATCAATACCAGGGAAGATTCTGGAGCAGATCATTAAGCAAACAGTCTGTGAGCACCTAGAAAGGAATGCTGTGATCACCAATAGTCAGCATGGATTTCTGAAAAATAAGTCATGTCAGACTAACCTGATCTCGTTTTTTGACAGAATTACAAGCCTGGTAGATGAAGGGAACGCAGTGGATGTAGTCTACCTTGATTTCAGCAAGGCATTTGACAAGGTGCCCCATGATATTCTTGTAAAGAAGCTGGTAAAATGCGGTCTTGACTATGCTACCACTCAGTGGATTTGTAACTGGCTGACTGACCGAACCCAAAGGGTGCTCATCAATGGTTCCTCTTCATCCTGGAGAAGAGTGACTAGTGGGGTGCCACAGGGTTCTGTCTTGGGCCCGGTCTTATTCAACATCTTTATCAACGACTTGGATGATGGACTCAAGGGCATCCTGATCAAATTTGCAGATGACACCAAACTGGGAGGGGTGGTTAACACCCCAGAGGACAGGATCACACTTCAAAACGACCTTGACAGATTAGAGAACTGGGCCAAAACAAACAAGATGAATTTTAACAGGGAGAAATGTAAAGTATTGCACTTGGGCAAAAAAAATGAGAGGCACAAATACAAGATGGGGGACACCTGGCTTGAGAGCAGTACATGTGAAAAGGATCTAGGAGTCTTGGTTGACCACAAACTGGACATGAGCCAACAATGTGATGCGGCAGCTAAAAAAGCCAATGCAATTCTGGGCCTCATCAATAGGAGTATAGCATCTAGATCAAGGGAAGTAATAGTGCCACTATATTCTGCTCTGGTCAGACCTCACCTGGAGTACTGTGTCCAGTTCTGGGCACCACAGTTCAAGAAGGACACTGACAAACTCGAACGTGTCCAGAGGAGGGCAACCAAAATGGTCAAAGGCCTGGAAACAATGCCTTATGAGGAACGGCTAAGGGAGCTGGGCATGTTTAGCCTGGAGAAGAGGAGGTTAAGGGGTGATATGATAGCCATGTACAAATATATAAAAGGATGTCACATAGAGGAGGGAGAAAGGCTGTTTTCTGCTGCTCCAGAGAAGCGGACACGGAGCAATGGATCCAAACTACAAGAAAGAAGATTCCACCTAAACATTAGGAAGAACTTCCTGACAGTAAGAGCTGTTCGACAGTGGAATTTGCTGCCAAGGAGTGTGGTGGAGTCTCCTTCTTTGGAGGTCTTTAAGCAGAGGCTTGACAACCATATGTCAGGAGTGCTCTGATGGTGTTTCCTGCTTGGCAGGGGGTTGGACTTGATGGCCCTTGTGGTCTCTTCCAACTCTATGATTCTATGATTCTATGATTCTATGATTCAGACATATCACCATCTCTCCCCAAGTACTATCCCAGCTCTCAGTATTCCCAAGGCAAGTTCCTTTTCTGCTGCACTTCAGCAATAGTGATCTTACAGGTCCTCCAACGGGCCTTAAAAGAGGAGTTGGGAGAAAGGACAGGCCATTTACCCTTTCTTCTTGAGGCAACAGCTCTGCCCTGAGCACATAGTAATAAACACATGTCTCCTTCAGCCACAAGCGGAAGGGGCCTTCAACAAAAACAGGCCTGTCTGTATTGTGGTGAGCCAGGAGCGATTGCTGGTCAGGGCTCTGGATTCCTAAAAGGGGAAAAGTATAGATAAAGGAAAAGGTTATAAACCAATGGTTAGGCATCACAGTCAAACCAAAAATAATGCTTGAAAAGGACATGGTTTCACTGGAGGGAAAGGTGGATCTGATATGCACATCTGTTATGAACTAAACAATAGCAGAGAGTCACTGAATGGCTTTTTGTGGTTTTGTTTCTGATGAAGAATGGAAAGCAGGGAGATGGAAGCAGAAGCCAAGGAACTTAGGCAGGACTCCTACAGGTCAAAGGGTGGGATTTCTAGACCCAGGACTCTTAAAACTATTTCCACCAATAACCAAACACTGGGCCCATCCCTCCCTTTGGGGTTCTGTTCCATGCTTAACTAAAGTATTCTGGCAGGCCAAGTATTGTAGTTTGAAGAAATTTTGTAAACTTATTTTTCTCCTTAACACAGCACTTTTGCAATAGAATGAAAGAATAATACCCCCATCTCTCTCCCCCCCAACTGTAAAATGTCTATGACAAAAATGTCTTTCACCAAACGTAAACGAACTGTGAAAAAAGCTATGAATTGAAAGTGGAGACAACAGAGGCACTGTTCCCTGTTTATCTGTTTGCTTTCTAACACAAAAAAACCAATGAAAACTAATTTAAAAAACACACAGCACTTTTGCCATCGCACAAAATGTTGTATTCACTTGGGTTTTTGTTCCTAGTTCAGTGGGAGAAGAGAAGTCACTGAGATAGCCAGAAAGCTTAGAAGGATTTCCCCAAGTGTTAAGTTGTCTAATGTCATAGCAGTAAGAAGTGGAGATATGGGATGCATGTAAATGACGATAATATTTTATAACAACCATCTTGGCTGTGAGACTTGGAATGCCTGTTCCCTGCCTTGCTGGCCTTTTTCCACCTGGTCTGGGAGGATGTGGCCCTGACTCCAACTACAAAAGGTGAGGTTGCTGAAGAGGCCAGAGACCCTTTTGACTGTCTCTCAGATGATTGAGCCTGAGCTTCCACAGACACCATCAACCATGGACCTCCATGGGCAGGAATGGCAACAACAGCAGCAGCTATGTTCTATGCTTATACAGTGGTACCTTGGGTTACATACGCTTCAGGTTACATACGCTTCAGGTTACAGACTCCGCTAACCCAGAAATAGTGCTTCAGGTTAAGAACTTTGCTTCAGGATGAGAACAAAAATCGTGCTCCAGCAGCAGGAGGCCCCATTAGCTAAAGTGGTGCTTCAGGTTAAGAACAGTTTCAGGTTAAGTATGGACCTCCGGAACGAATTAAGTACTTAACCCAAGGTACCACTGTAATACTTTATTCTCTTGCTAATTATGCTGTTTTAAATGTGCATTTTATATTTGATTTCTTTTGATAATGTTTTCTTTTGAAATGTTTAAGATAAAATTTATTGTTAACTTTGCAGCATTAAATGTGCATTCTGTAGTTGACCTCTTTTGTAATGTTTTATTTTGAAATCTTTAAGATAATATTTTAGCTTCCTGTTAAATTATGTTGCTTTGAAAGTGCCCTTGACTTTCTTCAGTAAAGTTTTGTTCTGGATTTTTTTATTTGATGTTTTAATGTAGGTTGCAAACTGCTGAGATTTTTAAAAAAAACCTATAAAGTGATATAGAAATGAAATAAATAATAATTCTAAAGTTGATTTATTACCCTCCCAAGCTTTGGAATTTCATGCCCTTCAAGATACAGAAGTCACTCAGTGCATAAAAGGATATCACACAGCCCTAGGAGTCAGGTGAGAGTCTGTATGAAGACAACAGGCCACAGTTGGGCTAGTCCACCCTTTGTTCCGTTCTGAGTTAAATATTAAGGTAGCACAATTCACACCAGAAACACCTGCTCTTCACAACCCTGTTCAACCGAAGCATACCATAGCCCTGTGAGTGCATCCATTTCTGCCCCCTTTATAGCTTGCCTGCTCCCTTCAGCTCCAGAACACAGTGATTATCCACTCAACGTAAAGGAATAATGCAAAGGGGTTAAGTACCTACAATATGCGGGTGGTCAATTGTTTTTCCAGAATCCAAAATCTCCGAATGAGGCAGCTGAAAACATCAAGATAGCTTTATTATTAATTGGCCATTTCCTTCCCCAGCCAAGAAACACCCCCCCCCCCCGAAACCAGGAATTATACAAACAGTCTGCCCTCACTGCTCTAACAAATCAAGTGTTTAACAGCCAAACCCCAAGCTTACGAGCTCTAAATTAACAGAGACATTTTTAAAACTTCCAATTCTGCAGTCAAGGAGGGGGAGAATTCCACCGCCTATCCAGCAGGATTACAGCCAGGTATTTTGTGGTCAGGGATGTGGAAATATCAGCAGAGGGGGTTTAGCACACACTATGGCTTCCAAGTCAGAACGAAACAGGAAAACCTAAAAACAAAAGTCATTCAACGTGTTTAAAAATAAAATAATTTAATTTATATACTGCCCCTCACCAAGAGATCCCAGGGCGGTTCACAGAATACAGAGCTATATAATTAAATTTAACAATTTTTTAAAAAATTTGGTGCCTAAGTCTTCAGTTTCTTGACACTCATTGAATGGAGCAGGTTTATTTCTTACTAAGAAACCAGGGGAAGAGGAACACTGGCTGTATGGCTTTCCTTGCCCCTTTGTAAGCAGACTGACAAGAAACTTTTAAAAAAAACACCCCCACAAACATTCTCACACAACTCCTTTGGGAATCTGTGCAAAACATTAAGAGGAACGTGCTTCAACTAAAAAGTGTAAACTAGAGAAAGCCTAACCAACCCTTTTGAAATAACGTGTTCAAGTCTCACTGGTTTCAAAGTGATGCAAACACACAGCATATATTTTTTTCCGGGAGGGAGAAACAATACATAGACTTCTTCGCCAAGATACTTTTTGCAAATGCTTCCTCAATTTATTTTTTTCCAAATTCAGTGCCCAAAGGGCTGGACCTGCACTATTAGCCTGGTAGACCACAAATGCCAAAGGTCTGCCCGAGTTTAAGGAATCCAGCTACACAGAAAGAGATGGGGATGTAGTTATTACAAAACGCCAAGATCCCTACTCGCAAGATTCTGTGTTTTCCTATTACAGAATTCGGAAGCACTGGCACACAATTTTAGGGACACCTGATCCAAAGGCACCAGTGCTGGAATGAGATGAGCTGATACAGCTTTCCGTTCTTCCCTCGAACTGCTATCATCATTTCAGGCTGCAGAGGAGAGGGTCTCTTGCACTGCCAGGATCTCAGAGTGCCTCAACCTACCTGATATACGGTAACCTTGCCATCCAAGTCAGCTGCAATTCTCTGCAGGCCCAGCCTTGCCAGGTCTACAGGGTCCTTTGGCAGAGGATCTGGAACTGGGTGAGGGTTGACGTGCTTGAATTTAGGAAACCAATACATGATCCTCTGGTATTTCCTCACCGGGTGGCTCTTGTCCCCAAAGATCCGGAGGAGCAGAAGCTTTGTCTCCTTGTTCGGCATGATACCTTCAGAGCAAGAGGAATGACAAGACTGTGATGAGTGTGGCAGGATCTCCTTTCCCCACCCACGAAATATGACTCCAAGTGTCTGGACTTAGCGATTCAGCGGGGGACCCTTTTAATTGGTGAAGCTGCAACTTAAGCGCACATGCTCTATACTGCTTGGTCCTTCAGAGCTCACTATGAGACACAAGTGCCACTTCCCCACCACTCTCGCCCCATAACGTTCCAGTTCCACACATTAACAGTATAAATAATTACCCTGGGCTATGGAGACTTTGCTCCTGCCCATTAAGGGAAATAGGAAGCCTTGAACATATATTTTTTTAGAAGTCCTTTTTATGTTGAGATTCTTAGAGACACCATTGATCCTTTGCTGAAGAGGCTCAGAAAAGTCTAAACTTAATTCTCTCCTCTTAGGCAAAGATCATAAGACAACCTGGCTGGTAGCCAGATTCTGCGCCCAGATTTGTAGGCACAGATCATCCTCTGGAATAAAATAGCTTACTAGGAAAATGCTGAAGTTGCCCTTTGGGGTGCCTCAGGGTCAATTTTTTATGGTAGCCCAAATCTGTATGTATGTATATATCTCAATTTTAACTCATGAGCTATTGCTGCAATCTGCTCCGATTGTAATTTTATCTTCATGAACGCTGTTTTTATTGTGTTATGTTATGTGAGCTGGTATTTGACCGTAATAAATGATCTATCAACTCAGAGTAGACTCACTGGGCCATGTGTGGTTCCCATACCATCACACTATGTTGTCCACAATCCCTCCAAAGTAAAAAGATGGGACTCCTTCAAGTGAAGGAAAATCTCTCTGCTAAGTTCTCCAGCTATGTTTGTTCAGGTGGCAGTGTTTGACACTAGTTCAGCAGGCTCTGCTGATTATTTAGAAAACCTATGCGGCATTTTAAAAATATTTATGATCACCCTAGGTTGATGGAAAGGTCCATGCTTTCATTATTTAAGGGACTTATATGTCCTCACCATCCCTGACTTTTCTTTAATTTTTTTAATTTTAATGTTATTGGAATTTTATTTACAACATAACACAACCCCACCCACCCACCCCAATACATAAATCCACCCTCATTAAACGTGAACATAAGATACAGTGAGCATAACATACAACAATACAAACAACCAAATAAAAGACTTCCTTTATCCTGTATCTGGCCTCCTTATTTACTTCTTATAAACTGTTTCCTTTATGAATAATTATTAAGATTTTTCTAATTATAACTTAAATATCCACAAAGTCTCCTGCAGGCATTAAATGAAACAAGTCCAGGTATGTATTTTAGGGAACTGTTTTGTGAAGTTTTCTCTGTATTTCCCCCATGCTTTTTGAAACTCTTGTCTAGTGTGATCTCTAATTGCCACTGTTAATCTACATCCCTGACTCTTCCACCCTTTGTATCCCATTTCCCCATTATTAAGCCCTCAAGGTCGTTCACAGTTTCAAACAGAAATAAATAAAACCCAAGTACTACCAAAAATAATACTGATTAGCTAACCAGATAATTGTCAGGAGTAACAACAAGAAACTAGGTGAGGAGATAACTGTTTCTTTTATAGGACCAGTAAAAGGTAGCTTTGAGATGTGCGTAATGATTCATCATAAATACAGAATGTATACATAACTTAAAATGTATATCCCTTCACTAATAGCTCCCTTCCCACAATGTGTTGACAATATTTGAGATTCCTGCAACACAAAACTATTGCTGAGTTCTTCAGCTAACTCCTAGGAGTCTCAAACGCTGATTACAGAACAAACAGCTATTCTATCTTGAAAAGACATCTGAAGGCAGGCCTGTTTAGGGAAGTTTTTAATATTTAATGCTGTATTGTTTTTGGCACTCGATTGGGAGCCGCCCAGAGTGGCTGGGGAAACTCAGCCAGATGGGTGGGGTATAAATAATAAAAAAAATTGTTATTATTATTGGTCCGTATAGTTAAAGCTATGGCTTTCCCAGTAGTGATGTATGGAAGTGAGAGCTGGTCCATAAAGAAGGCTGATCGCCGAAGAATTGATGCTTTTGAATTCTGGTGCTGGAGGAGACTCTTGAGAGTCCCATGGACTGCAAGAAGATCAAACTGATCCATTCTTAAGGAAATTAGCCCTGAGTGCTCACTGGAAGGACAGATCCTGAAGCTGAGGCTCCAATACTTTGGCCACCTCATGAGAAGAGAAGACTCCCTGGAAAAGACCCTGATGTTGGGAAAGATGGAGGGCACAAGGAGAAGGGGACGACAGAGGACGAGGTGGTTGGACAGTGTTCTCGAAGCTACAACCATTAGTTTGACCAAACTGTGGGAGGCAGTGGAAGACAGAAGTGCCTGGCATGCTCTGGTCCATGGGGTCACGAAGAGTCGGACACGACTAAAAGACTAAACAACAACAACATTATTATTAACACTCCCCTTGGAAACTACTGACCCTCTTGCATGCCTACCATAGGTCTCCATCTGCTCAAGAACATGGACACCACACTCCTGTTGTCGTGGGTAGTGATTGAACATCCTCTGGATGAAATTGCGAGGCACAAATACTTCCTTGGGGAAGACATCCAAGATTTTGTTGTAGACATTAATGTCCTTCTCTACCCCATACTCTGGCATCTTCTTCAGCGCTGCATAGATGAATTCCACGTGACCCCTGTGGCGAATGTCCCGCTTGCAGAAGATGTCCACAGCTTCCTGAAATGTGGCTTTAGTCTTTGCAGTTTCAGTGGTGCTCTCAAAGATATCTTCAACGGTCACCAAGGCTCGTTGGGTGGATTCTTTGTCATTGTCTCCATCGCCCTTTGAAGGGGTGGTAGTGCCAAGTGCTGTGCTTACCTGGATGCTCCTCACAGTACCCAACCTGGAGTTCTAAGAAAGAGAAACAAACAAAGGGCTTAGCCACACTTACCTTTCCTCCATGCAGGGTAGATTTGATTTAAACCAAATCATTTTAAATCACGATTTAAATTACTAGTCAGTAAAATTTGATTGAAATCTTTTTTTTTAACAGGAAGACTCATTCTTGCTGGTATAATCTTAATATGATGAAGGTTTCATTTTTGGAATAATAAATTTTCAGAGTAGTTTTTACAGTTATAGCAAAAATTACTGATTGGTTATACAATTAGAAAGACAGTGACAGATAATTATGAAATTATTGTGAGGTTTAATAACTGTTTATATTTGGACAACTTCAGCTGTATTTTATTGGAAGGAGAAAAATAATAATTTCCTTAATAATAATTTAAACCATTTATTTAACTAAAACAATAACATTATAGCATATGTATCCATTTTTGTTAACTGATGTGGTTAAATGATTAAAAAAAAACCCCAAACCTTAAGAGTCTTAGCACACATGAATTTTTTTTAAAAAATCCTTATTTCCTGATGAATTGCCTTTGGACTATAATGTAACTTAAATAGAAAATTATCTTTAGAAAGATTTTCCTTCCAAAAGCATTTTATTTTAAAAATCCAATTTAAATAAAAAAAATAAATCTGATTTATTTATTTTAAAAAATCATTTATTTTTATCCACCCTGGTTTCCAGGCACGATTCACACTTAAGGTTTCAATGTCGGAGTGCTTTGTTTGGGTTCTTTTTTTACTCTGGAACCTTCCTTGTGAAAACCCACTCTTTACCACTGAATCAGAGCAAACAGCAATCGAAAGTAAACCTACATTGCTGTTTGTTGTGCTTCAGCTTTAAAGAGCGGGTTTTAGTGGGGAAACCTCCAGGGCAGAAAAAAGAGCACTCAGAAACTGAGCTTAAAAGTGCAGACCTGTGTCTAGAAAGCAAGGACAAAAGGGAAGCGTGGATAAGTCCAAAGAATTATGAGTCTGGAAACTCCACAAAATGACAGGCATCAGACCCCAAACAATTTAAACCAGAACCTAGGAACCGGCACAGATTTCTGTGAATCTGAAGTATACCTTCAAGAAGGCAAAAGAGAACTGCTTAGATACACTTTTACCTGGAGACAGTCGCTTCTCAGAAGCTGTTGGAGATCCCTCTTAGAAGCAGCCTTCATCAGCAGAGTGCCCCTTCCAGCAGAGAGCTTCTGGGCCAGCAGTAACGTCCACAAGCAGTTCATGGCGGCAGCCTGTCTTTCCCGAACTGGGCAGCAAAATACAGGAAAATGCTGCTTCTGTCAAAAGGCTACAGCTCACATCCATCAGCTACACCTGAAACACAGAGTTTGGGAAGGACAGAAATCTGCTCACTGTCAGAGATCATAGAATAAGAAAGTTACTGGGATATGAACTTTATTTTACTCTCATTTACCGCAGTTACAGAGCTAGACTACATTCTGTTATGACAACATGCCAGCACCCAACATGTACAAAACTTTCCCCTCTGATATGCACCCCTCTTTAAACATGTCAAGTATAGGTAGCTTGATACATTAGGCACCTTACGATGATACAATATCTTTATTGTCATTGTCCCATACAGAACAATGAAATTGAAAATCTACATAAGACATTCAAAAACCCCTAAAAACTCTGAAACCCCATTTTAAAATACAACATTCTCCTATAAGGTAAAGGTAAAGGGGCCCCTGACCATTAGGTCCAGTCGTGGCCGACTCTGGGGTTGTGGCGCTCATCTCGCTTTATTGGCCGAGGGAGCCGGTGTACAGCTTCCGGGTCATGTGGCCAGCATGACTAAGCCACTTCTGGCGAACCAGAGCAGTGAATGGAAATGCCATTTACCTTCCCGCCAGAGCAGTACCTATTTATCTACTTGTACTTTGACGTGCTTTCAAACTGCTAGGTTGGCAGGAGCAGGGACCGAGCAGCAGGAGCTCACCCCGTCACGGGGATTTAAACCGCCAACCTTCTGATCAGCAAGTCCTAGTCTCTGTGGTTTAACTCACAGCACCACCCGCGTCCCAATATGCTCTTATAGAGACTCCTTATACTGAGTTTAAAGCCAGAATTGCATTTGGGTAGAAACTGTTTCTCAGGCAGCTAGTCCTAGTCGTTATAAACCCTGTACCTTCTTCCAGAAGGCAGAAGCTGAAAGAGATCATTTCCAGGGTGCGCACTATTTCTGCAGCTTTCTTATGGCACCTGGAAGCACAGATTTGATCTAAGTTGGGAAGAGTGCACCCAATTATTCTCTCCGCAGTCTTTACAACCCTGGACAGGGTTGTTTTTCCCCTGGCCGTGCAGCTCCCAAACCACACACACAGACCATAAGTTAATACACTCTCCACAGTACAATGGTAAAATGCCATCAACAGGTCATTTGAGAGATTGTTTTTCTTCTTGCTAGAAGACAGCTGGAATTCATTAGTGTACTATACAAAGCTAACTGGGGCAAACATTTATTTATTTGCCTCCCTACCTCCCCTTACCTCCTGAGAGGAGCCACAGGGCATTCACAGGCCAAGTTAGATAATATGAGGAAGCAACCGCAGGCATATTTGATCCACTCCCGAGGCAGGGCTTTTTCGGCTGTGGCTCCGATCTGGTGGAACACTCTGTCACAAGAGACTAGGGCCCTGCGGGACCTGACATCTTTCCGCAGGGCCTGCAAGACAGAGCTGTTCCACCAGGGCCTTTGGCCAGGGCACAGCCTGACTCCCTCCCTCGGCAATCTTCGTGGAGCTCTGGCCCAATGGTTGCCAGTGGCTTGAATTAATTAATTTTTATAATGAATGATTTTAGAATGTTGTTTATGCTGTACTTTTGTACTGTTTTATTGTTGTTAGCTGCCCTGAGCCCGGCTTCGGCTGGGGAGGGCAGGATATAAATAAAATTTATTATTATTATTATATTGAAATACAGTTGAATAGCTCCTACCGTTATCATTACCCTTCCATTTACAGGTCAGTCTAAACTCAGCCCCCCACAACTTTGGGTTCCCCACATGTCGTCGGATGACAGTTCCCACCATCCCTGACTATCCTGCTATCTGGGGGTGATGGGAGATGGAAGTCCAAAACCACTTGGAGGACCCCAAGATTGAGAAAGGCTGGTCTTCACTTGTGCAAGGCAATCGACCACTATTCTCACTTTAAAAACCGGGCTATCGAGACTTGAGGTCAGATTCTGCGGGAGGGCTGCCACATACGAGGGGGATTCGAAGCCGCTGCAACACACGTGATCACAAACACGTGTTTGACATTCACACATTACTTTAAAAAACCCAACAACCCGGTAATGACATGGTAGGACATAATCTATGAGGAATAACCGCCACGGCTGTCAATTATTCGGAGCTTCCTGTTTTCTCCTTCCCCGGAGCCACCCCCCTACCCAGTAGCCCCTCACCCACAACTGACCTCCCTCACCGGGCAGCGCCATCTTGAAAGGCTCTCCGCGTGACGTAGACTTCGCAAGCTGCCCAATCAGCGGGAGAGGGCGGGGCCTCGCCCTCAAGCTCCTCCCTGAACGAAGCGGCTGGTTCGCGGCGCATCAGAGGCGGGCGGGCGGCGAAATCTGGGGTTCCTTAGGACCTGCGCGGTCGGCGGTGCTGCCCCGCGCGCCGAATCCGAAGGGGTCCCAATTCAGCTGCGGCAAGATACCCCTGCGCCTTTCCCGCAAGGTGCATGCAAGGCGGGAAGCCAGCAGCTGATGCCGGGTTAGCGATGGGGGGAAGACGTTCCCAGTGCTGGTCCCACGCTATTTTGCGCCCCAGTCCAGGCGAACTATTTGCACGCACACGAACTTCTCCCCCCCCCAATGGCTAAAATCAGGTATCCTGTTGTTGTTGTTTAGTCGTGACCGACTCTTCGTGACCCCCTGGACCAGAGCACGCCAGGCACTCCTGTCTTCCACTGCCTCCCGCAGTTTGGTCAAACTCATGCTGGTAGCTTCGAGAACACTGTCCAACCATCTCGTCCTCTGTCGTCCCCTTCTCCTTGTGCCCTCCATCTTTCCCAACATCAGGGCTTTTCCAGGGAGTCTTCTCTTCTCATGAGGTGGCCAAAGTCTTGGAGCCTTAGCTTCAGGATCTGTTCTTCCAGTGAGCACTCAGGGCTGATTTCCTTTAGAATGGATCGGTTTGATCTTCTTGCAGTCCATGGGACTCTCAAGAGTCTCCTCCAGCACCATAATTCAAAAGCATCCATTCTTCGGCGATCAGCCTTCTTTATGGTCCAGCTCTCACTTCCATACATCACTAGTGGGAAAACCATAGCTTTAACTATACGGGCCTTTGTTGGCAAGGTGATGTCTCTGCTTTTTAAGATGCTGTCTAGGTTTGTCATTGTTTTTCTCCCAAGAAGCAGGCGTCTTTTAATTTCGTGACTGTGCCCTAGTCGAGGCTGACTATTTGCACGCACACAAACTTCACCCCCCCAAATGGCTAACTTAGGGGGGGAAAGATGACAATCACAAAACTGGACAGCTCTCCACTTACTTTAAATTGCAATCACAAGTAATGTAACAATCTTTGACTACTTTTCTCAAATACTACAAAAGAAAACGTTTTCGTGCGCAAACGTTTCGAACAATCTTGCAAATGTTAGTGTTAAAATGTAAAGTCTCTGAAAAGTTCTGATTTCAGGCATTTCCCTTTGCAAATTTTGTCACCAATTCCTTCAGGTGTGTTCCTTCCTTCCCAGGGTATGTTCCAAGTTCTCCAAGCCAGCTGGTCTCTTTCACAACATTGTTGAGTGTATGTAAGTTTTATAACCCCGGACTGAGAAATGGATAACTCAAACTGGGGATTCAAGCTGACACCCCAAAATCCAGCTTTGTTTGATAGAAAACACTTCTCCGGAAAAGGGTCTTTAAAAAAATGAACCTTTCCTTTCTAATAATAATAATAATAATAATAATAATAATAATTTATATCCCACCCTCCCCAGCCGAAGCTGGGCTCATTATCTCATTTGTTATTTTGGCCATTGAGGCAGGGCTGGCCCAATGCATTTTGGCACCCGAGATTGGCCCTACCACCACCACCAGGGAAGAAGGGGTGACTGAAGATCTACACCAGGAATAAAGGGCAGTACAGTTATACTCGTCTTCGTTCCAGTATACCTGAAGGAGCATCTCCACCTCCATTGTTCTGCCCAGACACTGAGGTCCAGCTCTGAGGGCCTTCTGGCGATTCCCTTGCTGAGAGAAGCCAAGTTACAGGGAACCAGGCAGAGGGCCTTCTCGGTAGTGGCACCCGCCCTGTGGAAACCCTCCCACCAGATGTCAAAGAGAAGAACAACTACCAGACTTTTAGAAGACATCTGAAGGCAGCCCTGTTTAGGGAAGCTTTTAATGTTTAATAGGTTATTGTATTTTAGTGTTTTGTTGGAAGCAGCCCAGAATAATATTATTATTATTATTATTATTATTATTATTATTATTATTATTATTACATTGGGAATAAGGGTGGGAAAAGACCAGCAGCACCTCCTCTTGGCCAAAAGGCCAATGGCGTTGGGGGGGGGAGGCGCTTCCAAAGAGGAGGTGGATCTAGCCTCCATTGAATGTGCCACAGACTGTTTGGATGTCTCTATGGTTGTAGCAGTAACTGCCAGCAGTGGGCGATAAATTCCTTACAGCCCAGATCTGTTGTCTCTGTGGATCCAGCTGCCCAAGGCCTTGCTTTGCTGACCCTGCAATTAAGGCAACCACTCAAAGTTGTCCGCACCACTCTTCCCTTAAATTACAGTTTACCTGTCTCCAGTGTTTTGCTATCATTAGCTCTTAGGAAGAATGAAAGCTTTTGAAAAGTGTTTTTGTTAGGAATAGTACCCCTGCTTTAGTCCTCCAGCTATTGTATTGTATTGTTTTATATACTGTGGCTTGCCGTTGTTTTATTGATTATGGTTTAGATATTATTTATTGTAACTGTTGAGTGGATTTCTGTTTAACTTTTATATGTTGATATTATTTTATGCTATTCTAATGATTGTTGAATGTTACTTTTTTTGATGTAGGTTGCCTATTGTAAAGTTATGTTTTATTATTACATTTTTGTATTGCATTAGATTGTTATAAGATGTACATTTTTTGTTTCTTCAGCTTGTAAACCACCTTCAGTATTGTAAGCTAGAAAGACGGTATACAAATTAAAAATGATGATGATGATTAAACATGGCATGTGTAAATCTATTTCGCATGTGTATTCCTGGTCTAAATTTCATGCTTCAAAAAGGGGTGCACTGTTAATGGGATCCCCTCCACAGTGTCCACCAGCTCCCAGGCTGCAAAGGCACCGTGAGGACACCCAGGGAGTATTGGTGTCGCCAGGATTTTTGTTGGGGGGATCGTCAGGACTTTGTGGGGGGGGGCAGAACCACTGTGATTGGTCAGTTAAGTATTTCTGTTGTTTTACTTGGTGGGGGGCAGCTGCCCCTCTCTGCCCCCCAGGCTATGCCCATGCCAAGGAGAGAGGCAGGGAGGGGTCATGCAGGGCACGTGATCTCCCTCCCCACCACCCCAGTGAGTCAGGTGCCATTAGAGGAAGTGAGCAGCGATAGCTGAGCCACTTAAATGGCCCTGTGACCGTGGGTGCAGCGTGCATGGCCCATGCACCAAAATTTGTGGATGCCCAGCCCCTTCATCTCCTGCCAACCTAGCAATTCGAAAGCATGTCAAAGTGCGAGTAGATAAATAGGTACCACTCCAGCGGGAAGGTAAACGGTGTTTCCGTGCGCTGCTCTGGTTCTCCAGAAGCGGCTTAGTCATGCTGGCCACATGACCCAGAAGCTGTACGCCGGCCCCCTCAGCCAATAAAGCGAGATGAGCGCCGCAACCCCAGAGTCAGCCATGACTGGACCTAATGGTCAGGGGTCCCTTTACCTTTAGCCCCTTCATGGGGAATTTTGTGGGTGTTCAGGCACCCAAGTCCCCAGGGAGTTAGCACCTATGCCCCGTGGGCTGAGGCAGCAGGGGTGCTTGGGAGAGCCTGAGGGCGCAAATGGCATGCGAAGGGTCTTGCTCTTCTACTTCTTAAACTTTCACCTTGAAATATGAAGGTAAAGTAAAGGTATCCCTGCCCGTACGGGCCAGTCTTGCCAGACTCTAGGGTTGTGCGCTCATCTCACTCTATAGGCCGGGGGCCAGCACTGTCTGCAGACACTTCCGGGTCATGTGGCCAGCGTGACAAGCTGCATCTGGCGAGCCAGCGCAACACACGCCGTTTACCTTCCCGCTGGTAAGCGGTCCCTATTTATCTACTTGCACCCGGGGGTCCTTTCGAACTGCTAGGTTGGCAGGCGCTGGGACCGAACGACGGGAGCGCACCCCGCCGAGGGGATTCGAACCGCCGACCATGCGATCAGCAAGTCCTAGGCGCTGAGGTTTTACCCACAGCGCCACCCGCGTTCCATACCTTGAAATATAAGCACGTTTTAATGACACAAGCTTCCATGGAGCAGGGGCCAACTTTGTCAGCATGTTCTGATGGTTGATTAATCTGCATATATAATAAAATTCCCACAACAGCCAGTGTGGTGAGCCAGTGTAGTGTTGGACTAGGACCTGGGAGAGAAAGACCAGGGTTCAGATCTGCTCAGTCCCAGGGAAGCTTCCTGGGTGACCTTGGGCCTGTCACTCACTTCCCAGCCCAAACTACCTCACAGGGTTGCCGTGATGATAAAATGGGGAGGAGCAGGGGAAGGACTATGTCTGCCGCCTTGAGTTTCTTGGTGGAAAGGCAATTTAGTACAGTATGTAACAAAATAAATAGAGAAATGCCTGAGGGAGATTGTCTACGTATGAGATCAGAGGCCAATGCAATGCAATGAAAGCAAATGGAGAAGATTCCTTGGGAACTAAGCAGTTTGCCTTATTTCTTAAGCCCGTTCCTTGTAATTGCTACTTATGCTATTTTAAACATCCTTTCCCATTCATTATCTATCATTTCAATTCATTATACAGTGGTACCTCAGGTTAAGTACTTAATTCGTACCGGAGCTCCATAGTTAACCTGAAACTGTTCTTAACCTGAAGCACCACTTTAGCTCATGGGGCCTCCTGCTGCCGCTGCGCCACTGGAACACAATTTCTGTTCTTATCCTGAAGCAAAGTTCTTAACCTGAAGCACTATTTCTGGGTTAACAGTTCGTAACCTGAAGCGTATGTAACCTGAAGTGTATGTAACCCGAGGTACACGGTATATCATTTTATCATTTGAAAAACATACCAAAAGCCTTTCTTTTGGGAATTATAGGGACAGAACTACCGAAACTGTATAGAAATTTATTCATGTACAGCGGCAAGAATGTTACTTGCCCAAAAATGGAAAGAAGCAGAAGTCCCAGCAAAGGAATAATGGATACAAAAACTTACAGAATATGCAGAAATGGCGAAACTTACTAGAAGAATAAGAAATCAAGATAAACTTTTTTATATAAAAGAATGGAAATGGTTTATTAAATATTTACAGATAAATTG